GTGTGTGTGTGTGTGTGTCTGCAGACGCTGAGGCACAGTTGCGTTCTGAAGCGACTCCTCTGCTGGAAAACACTGACGACCGACCAGAACGATCTGAAGTCAGATCCAGAATCAAACCGAACAAGAAGAGGTGTGAAATATGTCTTTTTTTTTTTTATTATGACAACAAATACACAGTTTGATATCACAACTCACAATAAACATGAAGGATCAGCATCGACACATCAAAATGAAAATAAAATAAACCTGTTAACTGCAAATCTTGAGTTCCCGACACAAAACGACGATGGAGACCCACGAATCAGCATCTTAGACGGAGACTGAGGATTAATTCAGGATCAAGAATAAGATTTTACTTTCCCAGTAAATGTTTCCAGTCCAGTGTCGATCCCTCTAGAATTCAGAACCATATTCAATAGCAGCACTTTTGATGAATAAACTAAATAATTATTTTTTTATGACATTTTTCTGCTGTGAAATGATTAAAACTACAGATTAAGATAATTGTAAGTCATGTTTCTTGTTCCTGATTTCCTTGTCAGTACATTGCTGCCAGTTTTTAAATTAAACTCTCTTCTTGCATTTCTACGAAACATTAAGTTTTGTGTCACTTTGTTGTATTTGTATCTTAAATAACTGTTTTATATTTACTGTATATATACAGGTCCAAACTGAAAACGAGCATCCAGGACTGTGAAAGGAAACCGCAGAGCTTCCAGGTAAACGTCGCTCTGTAGAGCTCGTTCCCCCGCTAACGGTCGACAGCCTCTTTAAATCAAATCAAGCTGCACCACATTACATAAACTAGAATAAACCAGTCGCTTAAACATTTCATCAACATCCATTCTCACAATGTTGAAGAAAGTGAAAAACTAAATCCTGAATTCACACCAGAAATTAACTGGTTCTTCCCTGATCCATATCACATCCTCCCACCAGGTGGCGTGATAATATGTTCTGTAGCTTTTTCCGTAATCTTGTTCACAATCAAACAAACAAACAAATGGACAGAGGTGAAAACACAACACACTGGGTTAACATAAAAGTAAAATGAAGAACTTTTTTCTTAGATCGCCATCAACATCACAGAGGCCCGGCAGCTGGTGGGGGAGAACATCGACCCCAGCGTGGTGATTGAGATCGGTGATGAGAAGAAACAGACGTCCGTCAAAGAAGGAACCAACGCTCCCTTTTACAATGAGGTCGGAGTAAATGA